ACCACTACAACTACCACTGCCACTACCACTACCACTACCCCTGCCACGCCCACCGCCACTACCAGCACGCCTACTTCTACCTCTATCTCTACCTCTGCCACTGCCACTGCGACTACTACTGCTTACTACAACAACAACAACAACTACTACTACTACTACTACTACTACTACGACGACAACGACGACTACTGCTACTTGCTGCTGCTACTACCACTTCAACTACCGCTACTGCTATTGTAACTGCTACTACTGCTACTACTGCTGCTGCTGCTGCTGCTACTACTACTACTACTACTCCTTTCTCCTGAGTTCGCGAGGTCAGGCACCGGAGCACCGCGCACCTTTGGAGCCCAAGGTGAGGCCGAGGGAAGCGCCATTGAATTTGGGGCCAGGGCTTTAGTGGTTTCGCGGGGCGACTTGAGGTTTGCATTTTGACGGTTTGTGGTGATTGAGACATCAGGTCTTCCAGCGACAGTAGGGTCTGTAGCATACATGGCTCCAGGCCTAGCAGTGCAAATTCGCAGGATTGGGCCCTGCGCCGGGTGCGCGCCGAGACGGCGTTGGCTGCAATTCGTCAGCTGGGGCCTTCGGCGTTGGGAAGGTGAGCAAATTCGGCAACAATAATATTAATCCTAACAGTTGCAATAATAATCATAGTGATAATAGCAACCGTAATATTAGTTGCAGTAGTAAGAATGACAATAATGGTGACGCTGGTAGCATTTGGGATGCCATCCGCAAGCTCAGCGGAGGCCGCTCCCCACGCTGGCCTCCAGAGGTACCTTTGCAGGCGCTCGGCATCTCTGGGATGCGGCGTGGAAGTCGCCTTGGGGTTTGTTGTTTAGGGTCTTAGGGTTTAGGGTTTTAGGGTTTAGGGTTTTAGGGTTTAGGGTTTTAGGGTCTAGGGTTTTTGGGGTTTAAGGTTTTCGGTTGCTTGCAAGAGTCCTGGATGCAAAAGGGTTTAGGGTTTTAGGGTTTAGGGCCTTCGTTCAGCTTCCTTCCGCCTCCTGCGTCAATATGATGCTTGCTTCGGACGTGCGGCCCCAGCCCGTGACTCAAAAAGGGTCTAGGGTTTTAGGTTTTAGGGTTTAGTGGGCTTCTGTGGTCAAGCCTGTGAGGTGGCAAAAGTTCCCATTACCCGCCCCGAAGCCCAAGACAAGCCCCCATCGAAGCTTTCATTCAAGCTGGGCCTAAGCCCTAAACCCTGAACCCTAAACCTTAAACCCCAAAGCCCGGAAGCCTGACAGTCGGGAATCCTGGTGATTGATGCCAGTTTCGGTTTTCGGTTCTCAGACTTGTCTGACCCTGCCGTTCGGGCTCCTTCTTGCGAGGTAGGAGGCAAACAAACCCTGGATTCCTTGGAATGTCCGAGTGTCGAAACCCCAAACCATCCCAAACCCTAAACCCCTAAACCCTGAATCCGACATGCCCCTGAAGAGGCAGTTCCAGAGCGGGCGCCCGACGCCTCCCCACCGTCGGACAACGGGCACTGAGGGAGGCCAGCTTGCAGGCGGCCTGTCTTTCCTTGTGAGGGGATTGGGGACGCTGGGGACTCTGCAAGGGTTCTGGTGGGGTTCCCCAAAATCTGCTTAAGGGTTCTGTGAGGGTTCTTGAAGGATGGGCCCTTCCCGTGACATGATTTCAAGCATCTGGTTCAAATAAAAGGTTTTCTGGTCTGGGCTTGCTTTTTTTTTAAGGAGTTTGTGGAGCCGAAGTGGGTAAGACATTTCCTGATGTGGCATGAGACTGTGTTGGCAGCGTGCAATTCGTTTTGGTTTTCGAACCCGGACTTCGGACCTCATACAAGCTTCCGCGGTCTTCCAAGGCGATTGCTCGGTGGGGGTTTCCGAAAATACGGGACTCTAATATAGCACCCTGAATAGTAGGAGCCTTGTTATGAGGACCCCAAATACGGTACCCCTAATTTTCGGAAACTCCCTTGCGTTTTCGAGAGCTAAGAGAGATAGCGGAGCTGCCCTGAACCAAACGCAGCTCACTTTGCCAGGGCCAAGAGCGGCGGGAGACAGTCTCGGAGTCCGGCCCTGAGACCTACAATTATTATTATTAGCATTATTATTAGCATTATTTTTCTTAATGTTATTATACAATTATTGTTGATATTATTATTTGTATTATTTTTCTTAATGTTATTATAGCTATTATTGCTATTGTTACTATGAATATCACGCTTAGCCTTCTTTTTAGGGGCTGTCGGAGCTGGCAGAACTGTCAAAGTTTGGGGATTGCAGCGTTGCCTTCGAAATGTCCGAAGGGTTAAGGTTTAGGGTTAGGGTTTAGGGTTTAGGGTTTAGGGTTTAGGGTTTAGGGTTTAGGGTTTGGGGTCTAGGGGTTCCCTTCGAAATGTCCGAGAGCCAGGTCTTCCTGGCTTCGCTGTAGCCCAGAAAGGGACCATCGTTGGCAAGGGCCCTATTTTAGCAAGGATCCCTCCCTCACAACCACCACCCTAAACCCGAAAGACATCCGCCCTAGAATGATATTATACCAATAAATAACATTCTAGTATCAATACATTACATAAACGTATAACTACATATACTTAATGCACCAGTGCCGATTAAAGATCAATCATCCATTTTGCACACACGGTTGATTGTCAAAATACACCACATTCTAGGCTTGTCCGAGTGTGAGTGCTGAAAACCCTAAACCCTAAACCCTCCTGGGCCCAGGCGGAGCGAGCGGGAGGCGCGCTGGGCGGAGAGGGAGAGGATGAAGCAGCGAGAGCACGAGCAGGAGCCCTCGTGATGTATCCGAAAGCCCATTTCCCACCATGAAGGCCACGATATTGAGCTTTATCAGGCTTTTTCTGGTTCCGAGCTGAAGTAGCTGACTTGTGGGTTTCTGGGAAGACCCTCAAGAATCCTTAACACCTCAACGGCATCTTGCCAGCTTGCTTTTTGCTTTACCGTTCATAGTCGTCGAACGCTGAGACCAGCATGCCCTGGCGCAAAAGGTGTCATCACTGAGCTGACAGCAACCGCTGGTTTCTTTTGATCCCTGAATTTGGAACGGACATGTTTGTCCCCCAAGCGGTGTGGTAAGACGAGGGGGCTCGAAGTTCTTATGTTCAGTGGAAAGAGAGTTGATTCCGGTGTCCGCACGGCACCGCGCCAAAACGGCTCTCCGCGTCTTAATATTTGCCGGATGCAGTGCAAACCTGGTCCCCGGCCCTTTCTTGACACAGGATCTGTGCGGCGCCCTTCTCCTTCTGGGTGCGGCATAGCTTTCGCTGGTATCTGATGATTTACAGCGAACCTGTGCGGCCTTGCTCCGGAGAGCCGGATTCATAGTAAAATCCACACGGTTTAGGGTTTAGGGTTTAGGGTTTAGGGCTGGCTTCGAACATCCGCCAGTCAAGCAGAGCGCGGTGGCCCCGAAATGCACCTGTGCTTGGGGCAAAGCATTTCGGCCGTGTCCATCTTTCAGAACCTGGGGGGAAGGACCGGAATCCCACTAGTGCTTGGGTGAAAGCGCTCGGGCGTCGTCCGGGAAGCATGGTCTTTTGGTGGTCTCCTGCTTGTCTCCACGCAGTCTGCGGGTGGTCTCCTAGTTGTCGTGGTGGAGGTTCTCGTGGTGGTCACTGGCGTCCTGGTACTCTTTCATTGTTTGGGGATCTATGTCTTGCTGAGCCCGAGGACTTGAATCACAACATGACATGGGATCTGACGCTGCAGAGTCATACGGCCCAATACTGCAGAAAGTCGTTCTTGTTGTTTTGGCTCTGTGACACCCGGCAAAATGCGCTTAGACAAGCCTGTAAAGAACCCTTTCCCTCAACGCTAAGATGCCCGGACATTCTTTCTAATGCACACTTATGGAACGCTACTCCTGCTTGTTACGGCCGAGCAGGTCCCTTCGTTAACGCCCCTTAAGCCCTTTGAAAACCCTTTAGAGCCCTTTTAAACTCCTTCAGAGAACCCCTAAACCCTAAACCCTAAACCCCTTGTTTGATATGTGGCTTGGAAGCGCATTGAGCTGTCGCTATGCGTGAAGGGACTATGTGGAGCCTTGCCCGCCTTGTGCGAGAGTGAGAGTCGAAACCCCAAACCCTAAACTCCAAACCCTAAACCTCAAACCCTGAAGCTCAAACCCTAAACTCAAACCCTAAACTTACTAAACCCTAAATCCTCAACCCTGAACCCTAAATCCTAAACCCTAGACTTACTAAACCCTAAACTTACTAAACCCTAAACCCTAAACCCTAAACTTACTAAACCCTGTATCCTAACCCCAGGAGCTCCAGGCTAAGATGGGCAAGCGCTGGCGATGGGTGAACGGCCGCTGGCAGACTAAGGAGGAGCTGACCATTGCCTCCGCCTTCAGGGGCTGGAACACGGGTTCCTGTGAGGCTCCTTTAAGGGCTCCTTTAACGGCGAGAAGGGTTCCTTTAAGGGCTCCTACAAGGGTTCCTTTAGGGCTGCTATAAGGGCTCCTTTAAGGGTTCCTTTAAGGCCCCCTATGCCTTGTGGGTCATACAATGCAAAACCGGGTGTTCGCCCCAATAAAATGCCATTCAAAGTTGATGCCTTGAAGACAGTCAGGTTCTAAATTAATTCAGCCAGCGTCCACAAAAATGCTTCAGGCGAGGCCTGCTAAAGGAGCACCCTTTTTGAAAGCAGTGCCGCACCCGCCGAAGTTGCCAAATCATGAGGGAGAACGTTCTCAAGGCTTTAGAAACATGACCCTTAAACCGAAAAGTCATGTTCACTGTTCTTATAAACCCATCTCGACATACTCCTACCTACCTACTAACCTACCTACCTAGCTGGCTAGCTATCTATCTGTCTCTCGATCTGTCCATGCATGCATACGTACACACAAAACAGCGACAGTACGGCGAACACGCATATACATTCAAAGTCCCGCCCTTCAGCGGTGTTCCCTAAACCCTAAACCCTAAACCCTGAACCCTAAACTTAACCCCGTAAACCCTAAACCCCTAAACCCCTAAACCCCTAAACCCCTAAACCCTAAACCCCGGAACCCCTAAACCCTAAACCCCGGAACCCCTAAACCCTAAACCCCGGAACCCCTAAACCCTCAACCCCTAAACCCCCAAACCCCTAAACCCCTAAACCCCTAAACCCTAAACCCTAAAACCCTAAACCCCGAAACCCTAAATCCGATGGCTCAGGAGTCCGAGGCCCAGGATGCGAAGATCGAGCTCGTCTACCAAGAGCCGCTGTGGCGAAGGGGTTGAAAGGGACCTTTCTTTGTATACGAGGGTTTAGTGCTTAGGGTTTAGGGGTTTAGGGGTTTAGGGTTTGTTTAGGTAAAGGGACCTTTCTTTGTATAAGGGTTTCGATAGTAAGGGCTCCACAAGGCTTGCTACTAAGGCTCTACAAGAATTCCGTAACGGTTCTGTAAAGTATAAGGGTTCTATGAGGAGGTTTACACGGCTCTACGGGCTTGGGGTTTGGGTCTTGGAGGGCCCCTATTTTAAAACCCTGCGCCGGCAGAACGAGCTGGGGCATCACAATTCGGTTTCCCGAGTTCAGAATCACTGAGTTCTGCACGGGCTAATGCAAGCAGCTGTGAGGATAGTTCAACATCCATCAATGACATTTACAACCATGATGCTCTCAGAAAGCAGGTTGAGGTCCAAAGCAAAGCGCTTCCACCATAACGCGAACTGGAAGCTTCGAACCCCGAATGGCCCCAATGTAGGTGCCAGTTTCGGACAGTGAAGCAACTAACTGATAGGATCCTGCTATCAGACACCCCCGCCCAGATACGGGATCCCTAATTTGAAGATCCACCCCGTCTTCATGTCTTCATGTAGGATATGCCTAGGACTTGTTCCTTCGGTTGTGACCTTCTCGCACCGGGCAAACAAACTCCAGGCTTAAACCCGGAAGGCTCTTGGGGCTGGAGTTTAAACTTAGGGTTAAGGGTTTAGGGTTTAGGGTTTAGGGGGATGTGGTCGGGTTTCATTCAGGGCTTGGGCTTGAAGTCTCGGCCCGGGGTTGATCTGAACAGCCAAACCTCCACCTGCCAATGAGACGTGGTAAGACTGGAGCCAACTCTCAATGCTTCAAGCCTCTGAATTAAAGGAAATTACAGGTGGGGATCTTAGGGTATATAGGCCTTCTATAAGGCTTCTATAAGGTATATAGACTTTCTATAAGTCTCCTATAACGGTAACTACCCACCTGAAAATGTCCTAGACTGAAGACAAGATGCTGTTGGAAGGCCTTGCCGATACAGCATGCATCGCCACGTCACCACGGGGAGCACACGCATTCAGAAAGCTTGGCTTAATCATTTAACCAACTTGCCATTGCTCATATCACGAGTTCGTGACGCTCAGACTGCCACTGCAATGTTGCACATCCGGGTGCTGTCAGGGGAAGAGGTGGCCAGCATACCGGTTGGGGTGTTGACCGACGTGAGGGAACTGAAGCTGCAGCTGCATCGGGTGTACGGCCTGCCTACTCGATTCAGACAAACACCGGCACCACTGCCCTGATGTTTTGCTACTGATCACGGCCACGGCGAAGTTGTCCGATGGCTGCCGGTGCTGTGAGCACCTCGAAAAGGCCAAGGGTTCTGAAGTGAAGGAGTCCCTCCGTTGGCATGCGCGGACTCAGGGGTGCGAGCTTGCGTCTCGGTTGCCTCTGCTGCAGTATGGTATGTTACGCTATGAGATAGTTTACCAACGCGCTACACTGAATTCTATCGTGTTACCTAGTTCTTTTTATGTTATAAGTATTGTATTGTATCATCGCGTGGCCGAAGTGTCACATGCTGCCTGCATGCAGAGACGCACCTGCTGTTTAGGTGGTCTCAGGAGTTGTGGAAATGGAAAAGCCAGCTCTTTTCGACAAGACCGTCCTATGTGCGGCTTGAGGGTTTCATCCATAGCAACCCAAAGCCCTAAACCGTAGAGAGAAGTGTACCAAAGACAAACTGGCCCGAAAGCCCACGGGAGGACATGCAGAAGCCCGAATCCAGCGAAAACTCGCGAGCATAGCCTCAGCCCTGGGTGTTTTCTCTAAGTCCAAGATGTGCAAGAACTGCAAGTAATACAGGCTACATAATTACCAATACTACTATGGGGGTTCCTTGTAATAGTTATAATTAGTATCATATACCCCAAAATCCTGTTCTGTGAAGACCCTAAGCCCTCAACCCCAGGTCTCGATTGCGAGAGGCACGGAGTCTGCTGGGTTTAGACATTGCAAAAAAAGCCCTAAACCCTAAACCTGCTAAGAGGCGAAAGCTTAGAGCTCAGGTTTTCGGATCATTGTTGCTTGAACAGAAGCTTTTTTGCTTTAAAGAGAGTATGGGGCAGTCTTCCGGCAGTGGGGGAGCCTTCTGCTGGAGGTTTCGGGCGTAAAGCTTCGATGTTCAAAAGCGACTCTGCTAGTCTTTTCTGAGTTGTCTTCTGATTGGGCACCACCCAGCCGCATGTTAACAGCGGAAACGTCAGCCGATGACCATGGACCCGTCACTGGAAAGTTCAACCAATAGACGGCGGAATACCCCTTCAAACAGTCGTCGGTAGATGACCTGCCGCGCAAGGACGTTGTTTTGCTGCTAGGTTTCAAGCTATTGAGGGTTTGGAGTTCAGGACCTTTGATTGTGAAAAGGTTCTTGCATGGCTAATCAACCACCACAGTAGGAATCACGCTTGGCCCAGTTTGTTTGCAGTTTCGGGACTCGGGGCAGCAGGCGTGAAGGCGTCCCAGGGTTGCGGTTTGGGGCTTCTTTTGCGCTATGTACAGTCTTCGTTGATTCGTTTTGAAGCCTTTGGGTGCCGGTTCTGCTGGGAGGCCAACCTACAGCTCGAGCTCAAGAAGCATTTTCAAAGCAGGCGCCGCACGCGTGTTCTCAGTATTTTGGCAAGTAGCGCTTAACCTTGCTGGGGTATTGTACTTTCCAGCATGCTCCAGAGGTTAACCGTGTAGCTGCCCTAAGAAGCTGGACTCGCAGTGTTGAGAGGCGAAACAGCTGTTTGATTCACCCTAAACCCTAAACCCTAAACAGCTGTTTGATTCAAGCAGAACTTGTGGGCACTCGCTTCTGGAGATGACTTTAACCCCCGAGGATTCTGATTTTTTGGTTAGATTTTCTCCGGAGAAGGGGTACCTAGCTCGAGATTTTGATAGAGCTGTTGGGGTGTTGCGGGGCTGGGAGCCATTTCTTGATGACGGGCCACTTTCGAAGTTACCTATTTGCATGCAAGCTTGTCATACGGTTGATGATATAAATCCTGCATTAACCATAATAAGGAAATTTGCCATAATTCCCATAGTTTAGGGTCCTAAGGTAATGCAGGGTTTATCTCATGAACAGTAGTGCGGGTCCTTCCACAACCCTGAATCGAAACACCACCGTCTTGTCCATTCCAGAAGGTCCGAGCCCTGCCTCTGAATCTAAGATCTGAAGGTTAAGGGGTTTGGGCCGTCATTTGTTTCGTGATGTCGTGCTGTGGCTTAGTGTTTATATTGTACTAGTTTTTAATAGTCAGTTATAGTATATTATAGTATATTATGGCGTGTTATGCGATATTATGGTACGTTGTACATTATTATGGTTATAGGGTGGGGAGTGCAACCTCCCTCCGCCCCAGACCAATTCGACGCTCTTTCGGCTCGCAGCCGGCTGCGCGAAGCCCCGTCTGAAGCCTGAAGATCCTCCGCACGAAAGGTTTGGGGTTTAGGGTTTAGGGTTTCAGGTTTAGGGTTTAGGGTTTAGGGTATGTTTCAGGGTTTAGGGTTTAGGGTTTAGGGCTTTTAGGCTTTGCTGAAAAAAGGGTTTAGGGTTTCAGGTTCAGGGCATTGTCCAGTAGTCTAACAATTAACCTCAAGAAGCCTTCGCCCCTAAAGCCTAAACCCTAAACCCTAAACCCTAAACCCTAAACCCTAAACCGGCCAGCAAGTTCAGATCCGGAGGTTTGACTATGAGAGTATGTAGAGTGCTGTAATAAGTGGGAGCTTCCGAAAATAAGGGGTACCGTATTTTGGGGTCCTTTTCCTATCTTATAATAGGGATCCTACTATTTAGGGTACTATATTAGGTCCCCTATTTTCGGGAACCCCCAAGTAATAAGATGCTTCAAGACCCCAGTTTGAATAGTATTCCGAACATTAATATTTAAGGCCCCTATATGAAATCTGGAGGCCCGATTCCCCAAACACTCAAAGCAAAGCGGTGGGTTCTTCACAAGCAAGCTCTGGGCGGGGCTGGTAATATGGGGCCTCAATAATATGGTGTGGGGACACAATACACTATAGTCACACCGGGGCTATAGAAGCACTGTCACGAGTCAAGTATGAGTTATCCGGGTCCCATATTCCTATACTCTTTATCATTCAGGTTTTTTGGCGAAGTAAAGGCTAAACGGAGCATGCCGCGGCCAGTCCCTGTTGCATCTCCGCCGAGCACGGAGCGGTCAGAAGAGCCGGGTTCTGATGCTGAGAAATCCGAGAACTCCGAGACGTCCTCTGTGGACACAAGCTCCACATCGTCGGAGGGGTCCGTTCATTCGGAGAAGATTCGAGCTGCGAATGCTGCAGTATTCGACAACGAGACTGCCACTGGTGGGGAGAATTTCAGAGCCATTGCCAGCAGACTCAGGGACCTGGTCATTCCAGAGCCGGAGCCCTCCGTGTTGCGGGAGGATAAGTGTCGGTCCCTTGCGAGCAGGTTGCAGAGCCTGGCCGTGGAGGAGCCCGAGCCATCAGTGCTGCGGGAGCCCGTGGCGCCGCCACCGCCGAAGGATCCAGATGATGCGGAAAGTCTGCTGCCACCCAAGCAGAGGAGGTCACTGATCCAGGCAAGCAAAGAGCCTGAGCCCTGCGTCATTGGCAACAGCATAGAGCTGGATGCCAGCCTTCGGGCCATGGACGTGATATCGCCCAAGAGCCCGCAACATGTCAAGGTTGAGATGAAGCCTGTATGGTTCTCAGGCGAGACAGACTGTGGAGAGGTGAGTTCACGGAATAGTCCTCTGTCCAGTGAGCCCACGAGCAGCAAATCGCCCATCGTCACCAATGACTTGCAGTCCCTTCGAAAGCTTTGGTGTGCTTTGGTTCTCTTGAGCCTTTTGGAGCTTTGCTTGATCTCCGGTGGAGTGGTGGCTGACCAATGGACCAACCCTTGTCGAGAAGCAGTGGATCCATGCTCTCTCCATGACACCGACTGTCTGGGCCGGTCTTGCAGAGACTCTGCACCTCTCTGGGCTTCTGCTTGGCC